CCCTCACGCCGCCGCGCGTGGTGTGTAATGTAGGACGTGCAGTGGGACACTCTATTTAACTTGACGCGAAATCCCTATAGTACGCGCGCGACTCGTCCGCTGACTTTGCCTTCTTGCCGCGCGACGGGCCTCCTGGGGGGTACCCTGTTAATACATTGCACGGTCACTTTGGTAAGTGTTGATTGGGACATTAGCGTTTCCACTACCTAGAAACGGGTTGGTTTGAGGGAAATATCTATTGAAAGAACAAGCTTTCTAGGTTCATACAGTTGGGAGTGTTTGAAGCTGAACGTCGCTGGGCTTCAGCGATGTCGGACAAAATGGAAATGGAAGATAATCCAGACAAAATTCGAAAGCGTCAATCAATGCGCATGCATCTGAAGCGTGCGGTCTATCATGCCGCAGCTCTTGAAATGCTCGTTAGGAATAACAGCAGGGTATGTTTCTCGAAGTTAGCATACGTTTGTTACCTGAGAGCTGGGTTTGTCCTTTAGATTTTGTGATAGTGCAGGTTTAGGAATCCCAGCGAAGGGTTATTTTTGTGAGGGTCTCAAATTCGAATCCTGCAATATGGGCATGAATTGTTCGGCGATTATCGCAGTAATTTGAGGGCAGTATGCTGAGTGTAGGACGCTTACCTTTACGAGCATCGTACATCTACCTATTTGACCAACGTCCATGGGATTTCCGTGATTATTTGCTGCGGAAGGAGTTATCAAAAGTTTTCTGTCATCTTCGTCTACATTTTCAGTGCGATGCGCCTACAAAACTAGAGGCGCAAGCCTACGCTGTATGGCTTGCCGGTGTGTGCTCATTTGAGCTGCGGAAATGGTCTGAGGCATTTGAACTGTTGAAGACTGCTCGAACGGTCTATGAGCGGTTAGCAGAAGCCACACACAACACGACTTTGGCCAATTTGTACAAAGCAAGGCAAGTAAATGTTGCAAAACTTCAAGTTTTTTTTTTGTTATCACCCTATATGCATCCACTGTTTCTTTGTAGGTTCGGAGAGCTCCTTTTTGTATTAACTTCGTAAATTACTCTTCAAGTCAATAAACGACAATTTCTATCCCACTAAGGCTGGTGTCAGAGTCCGCGATCCGTCGCAGGTTCCGCTGATTTTGCGATTCGCGCGATTTTCGCGATTTGCGCGACGG